AAAGTCAGCGGTGGCTATTCCTCGCCTTCAATCCTTGCCTGACTTTCCAGAGAGGTTAACAAATGTTTGATCATCACTGTCTTCCCTCCCACACCATAACCCGTGGCTAACCACAGTGGGATAAACTCTGGTAGCAAAAACACACAAGTCTTAAATGCTAAAGGAGTACTGTGAGAACAGGAGGCCACAATCACGCCTCAGTTACACTATTTAAAGACTTAAAACTGCACAGCTATCCCTGAGCTCAGCTAGAGAAAATTTTATCAAAACTGAAGACTGGTGTTTTTGTAAAATTTGTCATAGGTTTAACCTTGAGAATAACAAATCATTAAATGTTGGGGGGCTGAAGAATCAATTTATGTTCCAAGCAAAGGGTTTTTAAAATTAAGGTTGGAAAAAAAATTAGATCTCGCCTGGTGGTGCACAGATTCTGTTGATGTATCAATCTTTTCAGGCATTTAAAAATAATATAGAGATGATAAAAGTAAATGTTCTATAACCAAAAAATCTCTTGGTAATAAAATTTCAAATTACAGCCCATGACAACACTTCTAAATTGAAGCTGTGATACAGGAGCTTTGATGGAGAAAATTGTACAAGTAACTCGCAAAGTAATTCAGAAAAGCAACAAAGAATGAAGGTGCTGCTGAGATGAACAGAAAACATAGCTGGAATGGTGTGCAGCATCCTTAAATGAATTTCAGGCTGTTTTGTTGCCAATATCTTAAGCAGTGCTGTAGTCTTATAAGGATTCCTTGGATAGTTTCCATCGACCAATAAATAACCTCACTACAGAAAAAACCCAAAACCCAGCATGTACAGAACCAGCCCTGAACTCAATCATCATACATGGCTGAGCTCGGAGTCTGACACATTGATCCAAAGACAGTTTATTGGCAAGATTTCCACTTTCCTATGGACTACTGGTAGAGGGGTTGAGGAAATATCTCCAGCAGAGGACTCATCCCTCCACACTGTGCTGCCTCTGGGTGCCAGTCTGTGGCCCAGCCCTTTGGGTACAGAATCAGGGTAGAAAAACCAAATGGAGTAAAAGAGTTGAAACTTTGCTAATAGTGTTACAGAATGAGCAAAAAACCCAAAGATCACTACTTCTGAGTGCCTTACTTTCCCTGTCAATATACTGGGTGTGCAGCATCAAAGTATTTCTTAGAGGTTGATGAGGTTTAAATCGTTTTTCTGATATTTTCTGGCAGCCTCCAATGAAATGGGTTATAGCAGTGCAAAGTCTCATTTTGTTCAGCAAAAAAGCTTGGGAAAAGACAGCTTTTCTGTTTAAATAACTCAGACCAAACATCCATAACCACTTAAAGGTGGCAGATCCACTAAGTGTGATTTGTACCAAAGCATCTGTGGTAAGAAGGTTACAGGTACGCTTTGAGAATAAATTTCAAAGGTCTGCAAAGTATAATTAGTTCTAAAGTTCTCCTACACATTAATAATTAGTAATAAAAACCTTGTAAAGTCCTCCACAGAAAGTAAAAAGCTCTTCCAGAAGTATGAAAACATAGACCAAACCCAACCCCCTCACAGCTAGTCTTACATATCCTAAGCTTCCACCCCCGACGATGGTTTCATTTTTTTCTCTCCTTTCCAATGCTTTTTCTATTCATATCACATAAGTCTGGCAAAGTCTTTAATCTTACATACATTTACATAATTTAAAAGACCATGGTTCAGCCAGATTAGGTAGACTAGTGGTCCTTAAAACAATTTATCTATAAATTCCCTGAACAATTCCGTCACACAGCAAGTCATACAGTCCAGTTACATGCCAGAGAGAAAAGAAGTTTTTTTCCCCCATTTTGAATTTGTCACTTTAGGATTCAGTTAACCTTGAGCTGAAGGATGGGAATGTGACCAATATCTGCCAACACAGGTACCCAGAAGACAGATCCTGTCAAACAGACTTCACTTCAGTCTTTGACAATACTATGGTTGCTTGATAATTCATAACTGAAGACGATGCCATGTATATGTATTTTTAATAACTACAGATTTATAGCACTTTGGCAAAAAAGTCTGGAGCAATTATTGGCTATACAGACATGGAAACAGAGGGAAGGAGCAGTTTTATCCCCATGCAAGGGAATGGTGAGTCTGATGCCGAAAGGATGCATATGGTTTGGGCATCTAAGTTTTAGCACCCATATTTTCAAAGCCAAATGAAGAATGGAGGAGATGCAAAAGATGCAGAGTTATTGGGAGGCTACCAAAACTGGTCAATAGCAGGATACTAGAGGAACCAAAGGAGGACAGACTAGATGATTTACAAAAAACAAAACAAAACAAAACAAAACAAAAAAAAAAACAAAACAAAACAAAACAAAAAACAAACAAACAAAAAAAAACCCAAAAAACAAAGCAAACTTTTAACTGGGAGGATAACAAGTAAGAAGGAGCCCAATTTGAAGGGCTATAGATGGTAGCTATCTATGGTTTGAGACTGCCAAACCAGCTCTGGAAGATATGCTGAAGTCAAAACTGGTACATGGATGGGAGAGGGAGTCCCTTCTGACCTCAGCCTGAGGCAGCACTGGTGGCTGTACTCATCTCCTTGGACAATAAGACGAGGAGAACCAGGTTATCAATCTTCTTGCTTCATGACACCTCATCCACTGTTCACCTCTTGTGCGAGGCACACGTTTGCCACTGAATTTAATGACCTGCCATAATGCTGGGGGAGGTTCAGCCTGCAGAAGGGCAGCTCAGCAGCCAAACAGCTCACTCCCAAAACAGAACTAACAAATCCAGCTGTAAGATGTCACCTATCCCCCATGACCTGGTATCCCCATAAACATGTTGACACAAATGGTTGCAAAAGGTAGGCAGGCTGTGATGTCTCCACAGCTCAAGGCAACTTAGCACATGTTATTCTTAAAGTATTGTTATATTTTTAATTTTTATGGTTTTATTTTTAAAAGAAACCAAGTAACCACGTTGCTTTTCTAACTTGTGATCTCTTCAATACATGGCTACAATTTTTTGTGCCTAGCCATTAGCTGGATTCTACCAGGGAAAAGCCTTGGCTGGTTACACTGCTGACCACAAATATAAGTCTGGTGTGTGTGAGGGAGAGAGACACAGGCAGGCAGGGTGAACAGGAGTGTGCACAAGCACCTGATGATTTTTGTGACACCATTTCACATTATTAGTTAGAAGCTTGCTAGGCACCATACTACTACATCTCTGTTTACCCTACCTACCTACCTACCTACCTACCTCTCTCACTTTTTCACAGTTTTTTCCTCTTTAATACATGCAAGTTTGAATTTTTAGTTAGAGTTGCTTAGTTGATTCACAGCAGAAGAAGATGGGGGTAAAAACTCTATGCATTTTTACGTACTTATTTTATGGGAGATTACACAGCTGATTAACAGTTCTTAGAATAAAAAAGTGTCTCCTGTTACCTCCATTCTTGTCTATTTATTGCTTTTGATCTATTCATGCCAAAACATTCTTACTAATGAAAGTCATCAGAAAATTGTCTAATAAGGTAATTTAGAAGACAGCTCACATCTAGCATATGATCAAAAGGCACTTAACTTGCTGTTCCTGCCTCCTCTCCCCCAATAAACACATGGTTTACTAGCACTGATAAGTTTCAAAATGGTTTTGAACATCTGGGAAAAGGGCTGATCAGCTCCAGACAATTGCTGGACTCTAAGCAGACCCAGGAACAAAGGTCATGATAAATGAAACCACTGCTGTAGCTCCAAAATTGCTTCAATCATCTCCAGACAAAGCATGATTGAAATGCATCTATCACAGGATAGCATCTGGAGAACACTAAAAATGTTTTGATCAGAATCTGAGTAGCTTCTTCCAAATGATAATAATTTTAAGATGCCATGGCAAATTTTTACAACTACACTTTAGGCTAATGTTTCCCTCTGTAGCATTGACCTTGTTTTCCTACAGTGTGAAAAAAATCAATATAATAATGGTACTGCAGCAAAATTTCAGCTTGCTCTTGGCTTACTTTAAATAACTTTATTGTCTCCTTTCCCTCTGTCTACATCTGCTGCATTTGGCACTTTCAGTTATTAAAATGAAACCAAGTTGAAAAAAAATGTTAAATACCATAAAAAGAAACCCAGCAGCACTTCTGTCTCACTTTGCCAGCCCTGTGGTCACCTTTACCACTTGCCAGGTTTTTCTGTTCCCAGCTGTTCTACCTGAATCTGCATGCAAAAAGAAACCCCAACTTTCTTCAAGAATATCTAATGTACTTTGCAGTTCTACAAGAGTTTGGGGTTTTTTTTTCAAGGAATACTTACCCTCTTCCCTCCAATAATTTAATGGAACAAAAAACCCCAAGAGTTTATTGACTTCTATTCTCTGGTGCTTAACATATTCCCACTCCTTAGTGTGCATTTTTGCACAAATGAGCGAGCCTGGTTACAGCAGTTCCACAGATTCACTCCAACCTGCATTAAGAATGAGGCTTTGAGAACCTTACAGGAAACTATCAACTAAAAGAGAAAACACCATCCAACCAAAATTATGACCTTTAGTCACTTTCCACTCCCTGTGGATAAGAACCACATCCAGTTGTTGTCAGCCACAGCTCTGCCTTGGTCAACAGACAAGAAGAGCATTCCCAAAAGAAAAAATGAGAGCAATAAGTTCCAGGGAAAGCCACAGAAAGCCCAAACGTAGGCAGTGGTGAAAGGAAGGAAACACTTGCTCTGCTTGGGCCTCTCAGAAGCATGGAAACAGTCTTGGAGCAAGAAAGACCTACTCTGGTGTATGTACAACACAGAAAAGAATTAAAAAGACACAGACTGCCCATATAAATTCATTTTCCTACTCTTGGCTACCCCATGAACGCAAGCCTTACAAAGGGACAGATGATGCTCCATCTCTAACATCCCTTCAACTAATCAACCCTGTTTAATAAAAAAAAAAAAAAAAAAAAAAAAAAAGAAAAAAAAAAAAAGAAAAAGAAAAAAAAGCTAAAAAATAATCAGAATTCTTACTTTGGTGCTGGAAGCTGGGGAGGAGTTGGCCACCAGGCTGGTGATGACCTCGCTGTTGCCGGTGGTGCAGGCGGCGGTGGCCGGCGTGGGGAGGCGCGAGGGGACGATGGGCAGCGGCAGCAGCCCGGGCCGGGAGCTGCTGGTGGTGCTGGCGGCGCTGCTGCAGCTGGTGCTGCCCACATGGTTCCCGTTGGAGCTCCAGTCCCGGCGCTCCCACCCGGCACGGTAATCTCTTTCAAACCGGCTGTGGTGCCGTGACATCTCGGTGGAGGGCGGCTGCGGCTCAGGGGGAACTCGAGAGCCTGCCTGGAAGATGAACAACACAGAGGAGTCAGGAATGAGGGCCCGGCACAGGGACTGCGCTCTGTAACCACCAGGCAAGAACCTGTCAAGCCTCCTCTGCCTTAGGAGAGCACTGTTTCTCCTCTTTTCCCAGCTGAACACCAAGAGGAAGAGAGAAGTGTCATAGTGAATATTAATCTAGAACACAAATGAGAGAGTTTAGGCAACTACAAGGACACAGTGGAGAGCCCAGTCCCACAGACGACCTGAAGAAACATCATCTGCCCAAATTCTCCATCAAAATAACAAGCAAAAGCACGCAAATTGTGAAAAGCCAAGTTAGAAGAAAGTCATAATTCAATGTTCTGAAAACATTCCAAACAGCTCCATCTTTCCATTTTCTCAGTAGCCTTTGGATCTTTTCTGTAGCCCCTTTTCTGTACCTGACACATGACCAAATACAGATACTAAAGATCAAATAGAAAAAAAATCTACCTGCTAAATCTACACATTATTTCTGTTTTCAAAGCCAAATACTGCTTCACACAGCCCCCTTTCTGCTAGACCTCCTCACTGGAAGTTCCTACAGGAATATTTCACTCTGTGATGTTCTACAGGAGGCAGGACAACATCTTCTGTCTCCTCCCATGCTTCTGGCTAGACTTTAAACACTTAACACACATAGGTGATCTATGACCAAGCTGTTCTATGATCACTCTGTCCTTATCATCCCTCAGTCTTTGTTATGTACAGATTCTATCTGCCAGGTGAGGGATGTCTTAACACAGCATTGTGAGTCAAGACTCCCAACATCTAATCTTAGTTCTGATAATTACATGTTACATAGCCTAGAGCAGTTACTGAAGTCTTCCTAGCAAGGTCTCCTCATGTGCAGAATGGTGGAAATAATGCTATTTTCCCAGCAGAGTTCTGAGTAAGTGAAAGTTTACAGCATTTGCAAGAGAAAAAACAGTATGAATAAATTCTAAATGTATTTATTTCCATAAATAAATAATGAGTATCTAGGTCACTGTAGCACCTGATTTATTTTATTTGCATCACACAATCCACTAAGTTCTTTGTAATAATGACATAAGGTCAGTGCAAGCAATGTTGTTTCACAAATACTTAGATACAAAAATGGATGGTAAGAATATCTGTTTATAAGGATTGTGGAAAGAGCCAGAACTAAACTCACCCAGAAACTTGAAGGTAAGAAACTTCTTAAGAGAGATAAAAAACTTAGAAATGTTATAAACCAGTGTGCCTATAGCCAATATTAGTTATTCACCTCGTAGAAATTAAAAAGGCAAACAAAGCCAATCATTATGCCTAAAGGATGTAAGATTCACCTGGTTCACTAGAGAGCTGAGAGGAGCTGAGAGCTGGTTCACTAGCTGGGACAAAGAATACTCTTCCTCAGTCAAAAATTAAATAATATAAATGTATATTGCAAAACCCCACCGAATTCCCTCCCACAATCATTGTGCTCAACAAAAGACCAAACCAAATCTCCCAGTGAGCTGCATTTCTGATGGTTGCATTGTCCCTCTCCAAGAATGAGCACCTCCAGCAAGAACCTACACTGCAGACCACACCATAGTGCTGTTGGTATTGGCCACGAAATTAACATTCCTCTTAACACAACTATTTTTTTCCTCTAATAGAATGTGATGCAATGTTTGACTTGATGATTTGAGGGCTGATGGTTCTGGTATTTACTTAGATTCCTCTGTCTTTCATTTCTGTGGCCATCTGATACTTTCATTCAGAAAGTTACTTCTGTATTTTCCAGAGGACCATGTGAGCTCAGCTGTACAATGACCACAGGAAAACCCAGAGACACCACTGCTGTGAAAGCTGCTGTAGTGAAAACAGAACCTTTTCTTTTAGTAGAGGTGAAGAAAGCAAACTTTTTTTTTAGTGAAAACTATATCAGAATAAATTCAGTACCTAAACACAGTGTCTTTAAAGGTTAGAAATTCCACAGGTATAACCTCACTTTGATTTGTTTTATAACCATTTTGCTAAGTCAGGCAAAAAAGGAGCCTGCAAACTGCAAGCTGCAATTTCAAAATATCCTTTATTACTCCTTGCCTTGGAAAGAATTTCTTTTTAATCCTAACAGCATCCACTGCTGTATGAAGCTATCTTTTGTGACTGTTTGGATGGTGGCTGTCAACTGAATGCCCTTCTCCTCTCGAGCCTGAGGATCTCCATGAGCTGTATTAGTGTATTCCTTGACAAGGCAACCAGGGAGAACCAAATCACATCTCCCCCACCCACCCACACTCCTGAGCACATCTGACATTTAATTCAGTGGAGAGCAGCGGCACACAAGTCAATAGCAAGCAGTTTTTGCCACACCATCCCAGGCATCCTGCCCCCAGCAATTCTTCTATCAGATGAGACTGACAGGCAAGTACGTCAATAACAAGCAGGAAAAAAGCCTGTGACTAAGCCATGCATTAAGAAGTTTACTTAAAACCCAACACCCTCTTCATGAGCACATTCACTTCTCAGTCCAGCTACTGTACTTCATATTTCCAATGAAAACATAAAAGCTAAACATCAGTCTTCTTTTTTTTTTTTTCTTTTTTTTTTTCCTCCCCGATACATTGCATTAAACATACACTACTTGTTTCAACATGTCATTTTTGGCTGGGTACAAAGTCACTTGACAGTGACAAGATGTACGGAAAAACCGGAGGGGATAACTATCTAATAAATGAGTATTCAACTGCTAGTGCTTGCTATTTAAAATTAGAAAGAATAGAAAATGTTTTCATAAATAGCTGCTGGGTGAGGTAAGAAATGAGTTGTGAACAGACTAGCTAATTTTTAAGTGTATTTTTAGATCCAGAGTTTATGCTTTGTCTAGACTATTGATGTTGAGGATCACAATCAAAATAATAATGCTTTAAACATGTTCTGTACTCATAAGAAAAACTTCTCCAGCAGTGTGTCCCGAGTCAAGTGTAATCATCACATTCCTCTGCACAGAACTTGACACAGGGCAGCATAAACCATCTTGAGAAACAGCAGAGACTGAGGCCAGTGCAAACCTCCCTCAAACAGCAGGGAGGGCACCAGTCACTGCAGTCAGAGATCACAGAATCCTTACAGTTGAAAAAGATCTCTAAGATCATCCAGTCCAGCCACGACCCTAACCCTGTCACTACCAGTTCCACAATATCTGATTTTAGGCTACAATTTTCCAGACATGTTCTTTGAGAATTTTTTTTTCCCCTAAAAATAAACAAAACAAAACAAAAAAAAAAATCCCTTTGTATTACAGAGACAGAGAGAAGGAGAAACATCAATGTCTAATACTTACAAACATCAACATCAATAGCTACAATTAATGCATGTCCCTTTTTAAGGGAAGTTTTCCTCAACATTCATGTGCAGACATTTTCTCTTACCTAGTTTTAGACCCCTCTAAACAGCACAGAGGAAGAGAAAGAAGATTTTTACCTTGTTTTTCAGACACTGTGCCAGCTAAGCCTTGGCTAATTACAGATCTACCAACCTCAGCTGTGGGGTTGATTTTTCAGCTAGCATGATGCTCCACACTGTCACATGCAGGAGCCAATACCAGAGCAGACAAGCTTTGAGCTATCTCAGATACATCTACCAGAGCCATAAACTCACGATGGAGACACAGCCAGCAGGAGAAAGAATGTATGATTTGTGCATCTCAGACTCGTAGTCCATGAGGAGGCATATTGCCCCCAATTATTGCTGGAAATCCCTCTGCACACGCAATTCAGCTGACACACTGTCTGGAGAAGGTGGTGAAGTCAGTGAGACAGGCTTTCCCTCACCCTCTACTCAAGATGTAATCTCTGGAGTAGCCGGGTGTCTTTAATCTCCACTAGAAAGGAAACGCGTTCCCATTTGTCACACAGAATCAAAGGATTTTATTGTGCAGCCAAAAGGAACAAAAACTCTCTTAGAGGGGAAAAAATCCCCCACCCTACTAAAGAGAGAGAAAAAAAGAGAGAGAAACCCATAGCAGTTACTGGATGAACTGATAAATTCAAAGCAAAAAAAGGAGATCAAATTGGTATTAAGGGAGGGCTGTGGGAAGGGCCATAAGCTAAAGAAGAGAGGTTGAGCAACCAGAGGTAAATACAAATCCTGTGACAAATGTAAAATGAGATGTAGTGATATGGCAAGGCAAAATGTCTCCAAGACTGCATCACCGTGCATGTGCTGCAAAAAGAATGCCAGAACACAGCCCACTTTGTTTCAGGGGTTATGCAGGATCCAGGCATGAAGATTATACGTGCACCTGACCCCTTCCCCCATCATTTACTTTCAGAGAAAGATGGGTTTGGGAGGGTAGACCAGGAGAGGGTAACAGACTGATGAAACAATACCAAACACCTTCTGAGGGATGGGACAAGGCCAAAACATGCAATGCAACAGGTGAGAGAGACCATAAAAAGAAGTTACTTTAAATCCATCCCTCTCAAGGCAAAGTAAAATGTGAGCGTATCCCTGCTAGAGAACATAACTTTTTCTACAAACAGGAATTTTAGACACATCTCATACTAACGGCTTGCTCAACAGTAATATTTGAGAAAGTTTTTTGGCAAAATGCCAGTGTCTTTGGGACTCAAATGCAGGGCACTTACATAGACAACACCCAGTCTCCAAATTTACCCTGAACACTTTGGCCATTTAGAAATCCTCTGACCTTCTTAGCACAAAACCACCTTCCTCCTGGTACTCATTTTTCTCCACATCTCTTATGCAAGCTCATTTGTTCCTCGTTTCCACAGCTTACACACACACACAGAGGAAGGGAAAGGCCAGCGGCGTGTGAGATAGCAGCGTGCTGTCCTCAGGGCTCTTACCAGGTTCAAACAGATCATTGCTGCAGAGTTATTAAACTCAAGTGGTTAACATTTCATTTTATGCTCGATACATTTAAACACAGCCGTTCTTCCCCCAAGCCCAAAACACTCACTGTTCTGCAGAAAAAATGCTTCCTATTCATGTTCCTCTAAATGACA